AGAGGACAAACCCCAACATAGTCGCGCTTTTCATGTGCAGCAGTAACTTGATCGGGGTTGCCGACTTTCACGGAGGCAGTCGGGGCAACAACATTGGTTTGAACTTCATAGGAGGTGCCAAGAGTGTAGGCGCACGCGTTGTTGACTGGTTTGGCGATGGGACTTCGTTCGAAAGCTATACCTCCCACAGGCGTGCGCTCGCCATTGATGACTTCAATGGTGGGACGCTGCAAGGTACGTTCAGCGCTGGGACCAAGAAAGTGGTCGCGTTGAACGAGCGTGGCGTCGCTGATGCTAAGAGGGATGAGCTCCCTGTGGACCAAGTCAGCTGTGGAAACGGCAAAAGATATGATGAGACGCACTTTCCAACGACCCAAGCCATGGGAACATCGTCCTTGGGGTGCTGAGAGCCTGTAAGACTGCGAGAGGCAATGAGATCCCCGCTTTTCAACTTGAGCCAGCCTGAAGAAGCAAAATCAGAGAAATAATTCGAGCGGAAGCCAACGTTACCTGACGCTGACAACTCCTCCTCAGTCTTGTTCGGAATGGCAAGGGTGCGCTCCCACGCCCACGTTTGCTCCAGTCCCTCCTGAGATGTATCCTGACGATAGACATAAACGTCTCCAAAGGAGCCGTCTGTCAATTGGATAGCGAAGGGATGGCCCACAGCCAAGTAGAGAGCTGGGAAGTCATTGCCGCGGCCCGGGAGAGGCATACTGAGCAAGGGTACTTGTGGAAGGGAGTCGTCCTGCAAAGTGGAAAAGACGGGCATGATTTGGCGGTTTACGAATTCGGGCTGGCCTTTTAAGGGTTTATGAGCTCCTTTTTCGATGACGTAGGTCAGAGTTTAGTCGAAGTTCTCGGCCGTAGCCTCACCCTAATCGCATATTTGCAATTATTGGCCAGGACGATCGGTTAGGCGCCGTTATGTTATTAAGGCCATAGTATTGTTTGGCGGTTTTGCGCATCCCGCCCGTTCCAGTTACTCGGAGCAACTTGTCGCAGCAAAGTCGTCGTTGTCGTTTGGTTTAGGTATTGACAATAGGTTTTGGGGCCCACGAGCTCTTCTGCCTTCAGGGTAACCGTCGAATTAGGAGCTAGCGGCCCGCACTGCATTTCGTCTCCAATGTTTTGGATCGGAGCGAACAAGAGGGCGGATAGTTCAGCTAGGGTGGAACATGTCCCCCTCGATCCCGCGCGCGGCTTGTCTTTTTGCGATCGGCGAGGCTTGTCGATTCCCGACGCCCTACGCTCGAAGTCCCACCGTCGGAGGGGGTAACGCGTTGGCTACAGATCGTGGAGGTGAGCAGCCAGCGTTGCGTTGTCAATGTCGTGCCAACGAGACTCGTTCTCCAGCCATCAGGTACAGCTCGTCCGCTCGTCCGCCAACCATAGTCCTTCAATTTTCTCCCCTTTTACAGCCGCCAACGGCTGCTAGCCTGCCTCGCACAACCCTGTTGATCACGGCCACGCTGCAGCGCCCAAAAACAACCCCAGCTCTGCTTGCTGAAGGTTTGACTTGCCAGACCTCTTGCAGCTCGCAAAATCAAAGCTTCATGGCAATAGTTAGCGCCAATGCCTGTCGAGAGCAACGAACGACGTACCCCAGAACGACATGCGCCAGATGCTGGGCTTTGCTTGCGGCTACTGGGGCCTTGATGATCTGGTCGAGTCTGCGGAGCGGCCTGGTTTTCAAATGGGCGACCGATGAATCTTCGAGCTGCCCTGCTTGTTAGTTGACAGTAGGCATTGTTTTCTTCCTACGCGCGCTTACTGTTACAGCTTCGGGATTGCCACCTAATGGAAGCGGTCGAAATGCTTCTTTGCAGAGCTCAGCGTGTCCAGAAACCTGCTGCAGGCGACAAATTGTCCGCGCTCCTTCCAGAGCAGCATCGATGCGAACGCAGATTCGGGTTGGCGAGAAAAGCTTGTCAACACGTGACAAGCACGTGTGTGCGCTGTCGTAAACTTGCTTTAGCGCCACTTCAAGAGCCTGAGCGCCGCGCTCATTTGTGCTGTTCATGTTTGTGTATTTTACCAAGTCTGGAATCGTTACTGATACATCACATGCAGCGAAACGAGGGATTATCTGCCTCACAATCTGGAAACTCGTTCTTCTCCGCCGCGGCTTAGCCAATTTTTCTGTCTAAGAACAAGGATAATCAAGCTTACAAGCGCGGCTTGTTGCACCTACTGCCAGTATCCTATGCACAACTTGAATACGCGCTCATCTCGTTGCTCTCTAAATCAAACTCGGGCAACAACTCGTGACTTTTGCTCTCTTTGAACACACAGCACAATGTCGCGCAACAACTGCTGGATCGTTTGCTTGTCCTTCTTTCGCTTTATTGCAAGACGTCAACGCGCTTGTCAACTAAATTCCCAACGGCGGTAGGCCGATTTCATTCCATCTAAGCCAAGGCTTGGTGCATAACGACTTCATTTGTTGAGGTTCTCAAGCTCAAGAGCTCTATAACTGACCCGCACTCATTCAGGAAGCCCGCTCTTGTGGGAGGACATCTCTCTGGCGTTCTTCAATATTTCGCGACGACGCCATTGTAGGCAATTGTCAATACCGGCAACTGCTTCCATCGTTGTTTACCGCTTCGATGGATTGACTATCCTGGCTTTCTTCCCGTCATTGTTATCGCTATATTTATGCCAAATCATGCGGAACATCGGTTTAATCTACTGCCTGAAATACCTGTCAATGCGTCACCAACATCCTCTCCTCAATGCGGCAGCAGCGGCTGCGATAAACATATTTTGTCGCCAACTGGCGGAGCGCACACACGATACATATACACGAGATATTACAACAAGCTCGGAATAACGCGTTTAACACCCACACTCCATTTTGTCCCCATCTATAGGTATGCCCAAGCAGCGCATCGCAGCCCTGACGACTCCTATGTCCTGGTGTTCGTGCTGTATATCGTCTTCGACGTGGTCGATTTGATACTGGAGATATTTCAGGTACTGGAGTTGTGAATGTATCCGTTTCTCAAGGAGATTCTTCTCGGTTAGGGATGCGTCTAGTCGAGAGCGTAGTAGGTGGAGTAGATGGTCGCTCTCGGGAGCATTGCGAGGTACTTGTACAATCGACCCGTCGAAAGCCAATTTCTAAGTCATGATTTAAATTTACCAAGTCAATCTAAGTCATGTTAACGCACTATCCGTTTACCATCTTCCAAAAATCTGGGAGTAGATGTGGATGGTATATTCAGCAGGAATGCAGGAAGGCTTCTCGAGGTAGTTGTGGTCATTCTGAACGAAGCGCAGTCACGAGCCGTGACTGCGCTAGCATCGACCACCAGCAAAGCTTGGCATTGTTGCGGATGTCGACTCATTCAGTGAACTATGCGCCCACGAGCCCATCATATACGCCCTCCTTACTTGGCTTTCGCCAAGGCGAATGCTTCTCTCCAACTTCTCTTGAACAAATCGGCGCCAAAATGTTGCCATCAAGCGCAAAATGTTCGCTCTGCCAACCCCAACCCTTCGAATAGCCTGCCCTATAAAAGCTCGAACGATAGTTGGATGTGGGTCATTATTTCCCTCTCTTCCCGCTTCCTTCCTTTGCTTATCAACATGAATTCCAGCGATATCGACAGTCCTTCCACCTTGCCATCCTTCGCCGAGAAACAACGACGGTCTTCTCAGCAGAAAGAGAATCTTGGGTCTGGGTCTTCGAATTCCACTCGGCCATTGAAACGAACCGGCGAGAGTCTCTTCACTCCGGGAGCCTCGAGGACCAGATCGTCCAGCGTAACACGAGCTCAAGGCCCCGCCAATGAGGTGGCCGCCATAGACCCTCTGCCAGCTTTGCTTCCTCAGCTGTATGTCGTCGCCACTTGTTAGTAGATTCTTTCATTGACCTCTCCGTCAGCGTCGCGGAAAAACATGCCCAGAGTTTGTGTTTATATTTTCAGTCTGCTGTCACTGACTGACAAAAACAGAAGTGGCCAAGCTTGAGGCTACCGTCGCCAGATTCCACAAACTCGAAGACGAACACGAGCGTCTGCAGAAGGAAAACGAGACTCTTACGCTTCAGTACGCCATTGTCACCAATGAAAACCAGAACATCCGCGAAGAGAACGCTCGTTTGGAGCACAACTTGGACGTGGCGATGGACCGGCAGGCACAGTTGGAGTTGGAGTTGGAGAATACGCGCAGAGAGCTCCACCAATGTTCCGAGACAGCTTCGAAGAACGAAGCCAAGCGCAAGGTATGCTCCGACTTTGTGAACAGAGGCAATCCACTTATAGTAATATCTAGACGCTGAGAAAAGCTTTCGAGCAACTTACAAAAAGTTACGACAAAGCTCAGGGCCGCGCAGATAGGCTTAAGGAGGATAATGACCTCCTTCTTCAAGACCTTGCAAACCTCCGGCTGTTGCTTCACAATGCACAGACCGGTCTCGGGGAAGCTCGACAACAGTCTCTGGCGCACATCGCATCTCTCCGTACTCTCAGTCGCATTTTACAGGATACACTCCACTCCCTTGATGCCGACGATGCGGTGGCTGATATCTCTATGGACTCCGTAATTAGTATTTCATCTGACTCAATCCAGGCCGACGACTAGTAGACCTACCGTTATCACTTTCAAACTCTGACCTCGGACACCCATCTCTTCGTTTCTTTCGCTCTTTTTCCTAGACACGCTCCTTAGCTACATCGACTATATTACTTGCAATTTAATGGTATTCCAAACTTGAAGAGAGATGAATCTGAGGACGCGCGCGCGCGAGGAAACGTGAATGACGTGATTATATAAACAACAACTTTTCTTCCGCGCGATCACCAACTTGAATTCCAGTTGCGCGGTCGCCCTGCCCTCAAGTCAGACAAGAGATGCCTAAGGCGAAATACGCGTGTGAGCTATGCCAAAAGCCTCTACGCAATTTGGGAGAAGCAAAACAGGTTCACGATAGAACGTGTGCGGGCTTCAAAGCCTTGCACCTACAATCTGTTGCCCATGTCCACCAACGACTTGCCATGCAACTGCCATCAGCACCTCCAAGCCCACCAGCTGCTCCAGTGCGTTTCAAGAAATCTTGTTGCTGGTTTACCTCGCTCATACTAGGGAATAGATCCAAGTTGAAATGATTGAAGAGCGGCCCCAGAGCTTCCAACATACCGTAAAAGTGGCTTACCGGACCGAAAGCGCCGCGCTCCAGCCAAACTAAATGATGCTGCGCCAACTCCACTGCCCCATCTTCGCCGAAAGGCTTCATCTCAGTCGCTACCCCAACCTGCGCCTAATACCGTGCAGTCGATTGCCGAGCCCGAATCTCCACTCGAATCGCAACCTTCAACATGGATTCGAACAGAGCCTAATCATTTTGGGCTGTACAAAGTTTATCCTCAGCGTCCCACCCACGATCCTGACGAACATGCAATGCTAAACGACTTATATTGCGCGCCAAAGGACCAAATCAACTGGGATAATTTACCCCTTCCGAAAGAGCCTTGGTATTATCCATTTCCGAATGCATCAGTTGCGCACCTCATGAAATATCATATCGAAGAGGAAAATCCTGGGTCTATCGGCGGTTTTGACCGATTTATCCAGAATATTCTCCAACCCAACGACGAAGCCGAGTCAGATGGCGTGGACCTTCGTGACCTCCCTCGACCATTCTCGACCAAGAAGTTTCTTGAACAACTCGACAAGAATGGAATAGAGCCTCTTGAGGTCACTGACAAGTGGATTTCTGGGAGCGTCCAGCTCAAAATGCCCTGCGTTGGACACTCTCAAAAAGAGTGTGATGCTCCTACTTTCACGGTCACCGACATACACTACCGACCTCTTCTTGACCCTATTAGAGAGGTTCTCCAAGGGCCTTTATTCGAAAAGCTCCATACTACGCCGTTCTCCCTTCGTTTCGACCCCACCTTCGACTCGACATCAGCTGACATCGTACTCGACGACGCCAATCCTCCCCTTAACGAATATGGACTACCTGGCCTTCCTCCGGGTCACGAAGAGGTCTTTGGAGAATTATACACATCGGCGGCATTTCTCGAGGCATACAAAGCAATCCCGCAACCCCCTCCTCCGCAATCTCCAGAGGACCCTGTTGAGAGTATTATTATGGGTATAATGGAATGGTCTGATGCGACCCACCTTGCTCAATTCGGGACTGCATCGCTGTGGCCCGGTTATACCTTCTTTGGCAACCATCCGAAGGGATTTCGAGCTAAACCATCCTCAAATGCTGGCTTTCATCAAGCGTATTTTGCTACCGTATGTTATTTGCCTATTCTTGCGATGATGCTCACGGTCTTGCAGCTCCCAGACTCTATACGGGACACATATCGTGCTCATTATGGGTGCGACATGTCGGATGAAGTATACAAGCATCTCAAACGCGAGTTAATGCATCGAATATGGGATCTTCTTCTCTCAGAAGACTTCATTGATGCATATGACAACGGTATCAAAATTCGATGTTGGGACGGCATTGTTCGTCTTGTTTTCCCTCGTTTCTTTATCTATGGGGCAGATTATCCTGAGAAGTACGTGATACGCTGTTTCTTACTACTGAGACTTAGTCCTCGCAGGATTTTGCTTGCTACTATTGCAGCGGCGGCGAAAGCAGCAACAGCGGTTACTGATATTCAACCAACAACACTTCCTCAAAACCCGGTTCCTCCCGTTCCCCCTTCTCTACACTCGAGTGCCACATCAAAGCCCAAACCCAAACCTAAACCCAAGCCTAAGTCGAAGGCGAAGGCGAAGACGAAGGCAAAGTTAAAATCAACTGGTCCTGCTATACCGTTGGCGAATGCAAGTGACAACGAGACACTGATACCTGGGCTGCCGACACCCATTGCGGACCACTCATCTGATTCAGCAATGCTGTCGGCAAACCCAGATGGTGACCTACCGCCAGCGGCTGGCCCATCGACACACGAATCACCGACCACTTGTCTACGCCAGCTGACGCGCCAAGTTCGTTGGCTACACCAGGTTCATCGACTACAATCACAAGCACAACTCCCCCTGCTCCGCCCAAACAAAAGGGAGAACAGGTTGAGAAGCCGTTCAATTTAATCACGTTCAAATTGCACTCGCTCCCCGACTATCCGGATGCCATCCTGCGTTACGGAACCACTGACTCATTTTCAACTCAGATTGTGAGTAATCTCCAACTAGATTTCATCCAGTTCTGAATTGTCTATCAGGGCAAGCTTGCTCACAGGCTCGTCAAATATCTGTACCGTCCGCACGAACAAGCAAGATCATGTTCGTCAAATTGCAAAGCATGAACACCGCCGACGGTTGATACGTGCAATGTGGGAGAAACGACGGTCCTATAACACGGCGGACAACATCAAGTCCCTTGGCTGATGTGTCGACGCTGTCCTTTTCCACTCCATAGGGTGCTTTGTTTATACAAAGCACCCAAGCACCCTATGATTTTTTTAAGTCTTTTACTTAATGTGAATCATAGTATATGAAATCCAATTGTTCTTTTGCACACTTTTTTCACCGATGTCACAATGATGTGACATCGTTACGGTCACAGTGCCAAGTCCGCGGCTTCGTTAGGCTCGGACCGAGAGCTGTTGACATGGATGAAGTAGGAACTATTATCACTTATCAATCTCCCCCTCACCCATCTTGCTCTCAACCACCATGGCAAGCTCTAGTAATGCCCCAACCTATATGGAATTAGAACCAGATCCTAAAGAAAACAAGGAATATTACAGAGTTTGCACCTGTATTTCTAAAGATTGCAGATCAAAAGTCTGGATGTCAGCTGATGGCTCTTTGCGCAGGGGGGGCAATGGCTCCATAGGTCAACAGTTTCTAAGCACACAAAAGCAGATGCAGAATATGAGGCTCAACAAAATCAGGTACCCTTTCAACTTATATAGTATAATTTAAATAGAATTAACTCTGTTTTAGCAACCTTCTCAGGCTCAGCCTGCTATACCACAGGCTCAGCCTACTGTACCCCAGGCTCAAGCTGAGTATGTGCAGCCTGTTGCTCTGCAAATTGCACAAGGTGGCCCAACTGGTAAGCTTATACTAAATGAATGCAGTACATAGCTGATTTTTTTTTAAAAAAAAGTATCTTCTAAGCAGAGAATTCAGTTTCTAGCAAGTTCTCTGGCTTCTTGGCTGCACCTTGTTTCTGGTGTTAGCAGAGAGACAAGTAGCCGTGTATTGAAAGTTCTCAACATTCTTATCCGCCTGACAGCTCAAGATAACACAGCATCACCCCAGCAATATAATGTCCCAACAGATGTTCGAACTGCAATAGGTCATTTATCTATAGAGCCTACAATTGTCCGCAGTATCTGCTGTCCCAAATGCTTCCGGGCCTATTCAATACAGGATCTTCCTCAGACATGTCTTGCCAGAAATGGAAATACTACATGTTCTACACCTCTCTGGACAGAACGTCAAACCCGTGGTGGACCAAAGATTGTCCCACGGCGCTTATATAGCACACAGAGCTTTTCAACATTTCTAGAACATTTTTTAGGCCGTCCTGGAATGGAAGAGCTTCTTAGCAAATCTGTTCATCATCAGCCAGATCCCTCTGGGCGCATGCACTCTATCTGGGATAGCCCAGCATGGAAGAGTCTCCCTAATGACTTTACATCCAAGCCACACAATCTTGTCTTTAGCTTTTATGTAGATTGGTTCAACCCATTCCTGAACAAGATTGCAGGGAAGAAGGCCTCATGTGGTGCCATTATAGCAGTTTGTTTAAACTTGCCTTATGAGCTCTGGCACTTAACAGGCAATGCATACTTTGCTGGGATTACTCCACCACCTCATGAACCAACAGTTGACACTGTCAATGGTCTTATGGAGACACCCGTTAAGGAGTTTGTTGATATGTGGAAAGGAAAATGCTTACGGACATTCAATCATCCTACTGAGGGCATCTACTATCGGGCCGCTGTACTCTGTGCCTTAGGAGACCTTCTGGCTCTTGCAAAGTTTTTAGGAGCTGCAGGGCTTGCTTCACTAAAGAATTTCTGTTTTCTGTGCAAGCTTCCTAGAAATGAGATTACTCGTACAGATTATCAAAACTTTGTTCTTAGAAAAGGTTCAGAGGCTCGTTTTGCAGCATACAAACACCTTATTGCAAAAACTAAACGAGAGCGGGAGCAGATTGTCCGTGATGAAGGTCATCGATTTTCAGCACTTCATTTTTTAGAATATCGGGATCCTATCAAGCATACTACTCTGGGTATCATGCATGGATGGCTGGAAGGAGTTGTGCAACATCATTGCAGGTTAAAATGGGGAATTGGAAATTCTGTTCAAAATAAAGAAGCTGCAGAAAATTCAGGAGATGATGATATGATGGATATAGATGAAACAGATATTCAAGAAGAAATTGAAGGACTAGGTTTAGTTGAACTTTTTTGCAAGCTCTTCACAGGTTCCTCAAGGAATACCTGAGGCAGAGCAAACTGGGACAGCATATATTACTGCAGAAGAAGAAGAGGAGTCAGAAGAGGAAGAGGAACAAAATGAGGAGGGGGTATATGAGAGTGAGAAACCTCCTCATACAATTTTCACCAAGGTAATATCTCTTTTTTTAATCTTTTATTTATATTTAATTTACTATTCAGGATTTTGGAATGCCTAAATTTCATGAAGGTCTTGCAGGTGTGGTACTGCCATCCTATCTTGACCAAATTCCCCTCAATCTTGGAGAAAAAACACATGGGAAATTAAAGGCTGACAATTGGTTTGTTGCCATTACTATCAATTTCCCCTTGATTGTGCCAGAGATATTCAGCTGTGGTCTATCAGAACGCAGAACATTTGACAAAAAGCTTCTTGAGAACTTAACAGATCTAGTTGCTGCAACAAATCTTCTGTTTTCATATTCAGTCACTCCAGCTGAAGCTGATAAATTTATGGAATACTATGTGCACTATCTAGAAACATCTCAGGACCTCTTCCCAGGACTTAGTACACGCCCTAATCATCATTTTGCACTTCATTATGGTGCTCAACTGAAATGGTGGGGTCCTCTGGTTCAACTTGCTGAGTTCTTATATGAAACTCATAATGGGACCCTTCAAAAAATCAAGACCAATAATCATATGTGTATGTATAAATCTTTATTTAACAAACGTTTCTTAATCTTATCATAAATAGGGGAAATGGATCTTACTATGCTTCGCCAGATTTGTAGGCGAGGTCGATTAGTTGCAGCAATGCATGATAGTATCAAGCTCAGCCAGCCTGACTCTGATCCAGCAGTTGCTGAGGCTATGGAGATTCTTTCCCCACAGCCAGCCAGCTCTGTTCCTTTAGAGCCTCATAGTATTCCTATTGAGGAACAAAGTGCTCACCGTCGTCAAGCTATTCAACTTGATAACACTGTCTATAACCTCTTGCTTAACTATCATAATACCCACTATGGTGGATCCTTCATTTCACAGGCTGATTATGGATTTGAGGCATTGGAAGCTGGTCTCAAAGCATTTCCTTCCAGGGCTTTACCACTCAAGACTTTTCACCATAAAACTCGTGTCTTTTCTACCTACCAGAAGCACCATGGAAATAGCTCAATCTCATACAAGAATCCACAGACAGGGCAGAAGGATTTTGCTTTTATTCAAGCAATATTTGCAATGCTTCTACATGACAAACTCTTCACATTCATCCTAGTTCAGCCTCACCAAGCATTGTCTCCTGAAGATGAAGCTAAGACTCCCTATGCTTCTCATCCTGGTCTTGCATGCCTTTTGAGATATTCTTCACCACAAACCCCTCAATCCTTGTTGGTTATAGAACCTCAGCATATTATTTCCCATCTGGCCTATCACCAGCGTCCTGCTGGAACATTTGGAATAATGGAGAATTTTACTATATTTGTGGATTCCTTGCATCGTGGCCGAACTTGACTACAGTGATATACATACTAGTAGTTGTCAAAATATTACTAGCAATAGTTTTCTGAATGGAATTTGTTGTATATTATAAGATATTGAAAGAAATTTAAATACATACACAGTTTATAATTCTTATTTTCTTATCTAGCGCTGATTATCTGAGCAGATAGCCGCTGTGCACCGACTCACCCAGCCGCCCCAGTCCCCTCCAAGGCTCTAAACCCGCCTAGAATCCCACGTTGCTCGCGCTGGCGGCCAACACGCGGCATCGTCTCCTCCTCTGGCCCGGCCCTGGCGGACCGACTCCATCGCAATCACCGCGCCGTGAGTCGCGGCAGACTGTGGACAACCAACGCGGCAGATGAGCGTGGCCGGGCCACGGTCTGCGCCCGAATGGGGCCGGGCGTTGTCGACGCCCAGGATTCTGGTGCTTGCGGGGGTCGCCGGAAGCTGAAGGAGAGGAGAAACAGTCCCGCCCGTCTTCCTGAGCAGCATCGAGTCCTCGATCCGCAAGGCTGACCTGCGCCGCTGCCTGTTGCTCCCCAGCGCTGAGTTTCGTGGTGCGCACAAATGCTCGTTGTCAGCTCCGATCCGCGTGTCCGTTAACGCCGTGACAGCGGGGACTCGGCGGTGGCTGAGCAGAGAGCCGGCGGCGCTGCATGCAGAGGAACGCGGCGCGAGACGGCGAGCAGGCGAGGTTTAGACGATGCTGCGCCGGAACCGGGCCGCGAGGCGAAGCTTTGCGACGGCGTACGTCGTGTGCCTGGCGTTGTCGACGCTGAGGACTGTGGTGCTCGTGGGGGTGTCGCCCGGCCGGGAACTCGAAGGAGAGCACTGCCGTCCACGAGGCCCGCTGATCCTCACGATGGTTGGCGTGCTCGTGGACGTGGTCAGGTTCCTGAGCGCGACCCAATAGGGATTTGGCTGAGCAACAACGGGCAACGGCTCGGGCGGCCATGGTCCTCGGTTTGCGCCTGCGCCTGCGCCTGCGCCTGCGCTTCGCGTCGGTGGCGAAACACAACCGCGCGGAAGCCCCAGAGGGACCGCTCCGCTGGCGGCCTTGACTGCAGGGATACCCCGCGCGGTGGCTTACGGCTGTAGTTCCTGTGCGAAATGGCGTTCTTGTCTGTCCTGCAGTTGGCACGCCGACGCCATGGTCCAACTCCCCGAGATGCTGGTCCGCTAAGAGTAGGCGCCACCAGTACTGGCCGGCCTGCTTCGCGTTCAAGTTGGCGCCAAGCGAGCAAGAACGAGCACCGCTGTGCCATATGCGCGGTCCCGGGCCGAGAGGGTGGAGTTTGTGAAAAAGGGGTTACTAGAGGGGACGAGCAATCACAGGAAGTTGGAATGTTGTTGACGCCGAGGATGAGTTCAAGCACAAGTGGTGCGGGGCTGCCCGCGGGGTCTTATTTTTGCATTGAACGTTGCGGAGATGGCCCGGCTGCCGTGTCGATTGAAATCTGATCTACTGTGTGACTCCTGTTACTCATTCTCTGACGGCCATGTAGCCGCACCAGCGCTCCCTTTGAGCTTCCTCGGAACCTTTATGGTATGTTTCTTTGTCTTCTGAGCTCTTATACCCAGCTGACACACATGTCAGCCACTTCTTCTCTTTCATGGCCTACCACTACAACAACAACGAAGGTGTTGCACAGTCGCAATGGGCGAACGCTCCCGACCCTAACCAGTCCTCCTCCGCGGCCAATCCATCCCATCCATATCCACAGTCGACCAACACATACTATGCGGGACAACCTTTCGAAAATCAAGGCTATTCGTCCCAGTACACCGCCTACGACACTTACGCCAACGGCTATGGTTACCAGCAAAACAACTCATTCAACTACGACACGTCTCAGCCACTCTACAACAGTGGCCACATCGAAATTCCGCCAAGTGTTGCTGATGTGATGAACAACAACCCCGATCTCGCAGCTTGGATGGCGAACATGCGACTAGCTCACCAAAATGAACTCGACCGCCAGTATCAGCAGCAGCAGGCGATGTTCGATCATCACTCCCAGCAAGCGGAGACCCGTTACGAGCAACAGTACCAGCAACGCTATCAGCAAATGAACGGGGAGTACATAGCAATGCAGGCGCAACGCGATGCAGCGTATGTACAGGCACAGGCAGCCTTCCGACAAGCTTCCCAGTACGCATCCTCTATTTTTCAGCTATTCTCAACTAATAGGTTCTGCAGACAGCCAGCTGCGAACGACACTACGCCCGCCGCATCCGGTAACCACAAGAAGTCGAAGAAGAAGTCAAAAACGACGCCACCCCCGAGCTCACCGAAGACAACCAAGCCATCATCAAAGGCATCGCCCACCACTGCTCCACCTCAATCCACGGACTCGACAACAGGCACGTCCCCTCCTTTTGCCTCCAAGTCCACGACTGGCAATACACCAACTGCGCCGACTGGGAAACCTGCATCTAAGGCGAAGCGAGCTCGAAAGCCGGCAGAGCATCAAATTTTGAAGAAGGAATTGGACAAGGAAACGGATCCCTTCAAGGTAATATCATTCGGCTTACATCCATTGACTTACAGCTGAGCAGAAAGGGTTTTATCTTCATATTCGGTTCCTCTGGGGCAATCTGGAGTCGAACTCCGTTCCGACCACTGCATCGCAAGAGATAATCGATGCATTCAATCGTCGGTTTAAAGGATACTCTGTGAAGGAGATGTCACGGATCGGTATGCACGGTGCCAAAAACTTCGTTGAAGTTGCTGATGTGAGGGTGCGTGTCATGTTTTTGCCTGTCGCTTGTCACTAATTGTTCCAGCTTGGAATTCTCCCTTCCACTGCGGCTCGCTCTCAGAGCCAAATCGTCAAAAAGTTTTCCCAACTTGGCGACACACCCAAGCTTGCAATCCGTGGTAACTTGGCACGCTTCGGAATCATCCAATGGGCTCCCGACTTCGAGCAGCCTTCCGACTCCCTTTATAACTCAACTATGCGCATCGCTGCTGTCGATACTTTCCGACTGATGGTTGCTAGCGCCGCATACGACTTTCTGTGCATGACAGACATCTCGCCCATCGACTCTATCGAATTCATGAACAATCTCTTCAACCATTTCATCTTCCATTATATGCGCGAGAAGTGGGCCAAGGAAATCCGGAACCCTGGGGCAAATAATGTCGAGGCAGATCGGAATGCTGCGTCCCCATGCTCGTCAGCGGGTATGTCTATTTTCACTATTTCTTGTTCCAATCATGAAGTTTTTATAGCGCTCCGAACGACGAGTCGCGTATGTGAGCTCTCCGGACTCGTGTGTCCCAGAAGGCATCCAACTACTCTTCAAACCCAAGGCAACGTCAGATGACGAGTCAACACCGACAGGCTCTCGTGCCCTTCGCCGTCCGGAGCGGTCCATGGATGCTGACAACATCATTCAGATGGTCGATAGACTCATTATCAAGACCTTATCAATGACCAACCAGACTCGGGCCGCCAACAAATTGAGCCGTCGAACTGTCCCTGAATTTTCAAAACGAGGTCTCTCTCGGTATGCAACAGTTAGTATTGGTTCTTGTCGTGTTTGTTTCCTTCTTACAAACCATCTAGATTCCTCAACATATGCCCATTCAATACTATGATCCTGCGGAGTTCAATCAACTCCCGCCGGGCATTCGTGCCAAAATTGCACCCCAACAAATCATTGTTTTTCAGCCTGGCTCAACGGACATCTCTAAACGAAGTGACACTGGATCCATGACCATCGAGCAACTAACTCGCAAATATGGTCCAACTGTATTCCCATTATACGATCTTGTTGAGGTTCCCACTACCTCTTCTGCATCTCCAACGGCTTCAACTTCGAATACCTCACGTCCGGCTCCAACCCCGGCCCCGGCTCCAACCCCGGCCCCGGCCCCGGCCCCGGCCCCGGCCGCAACAAGCGATGATGAAGGCGAGAGTGTGGGCAGCGAGGATACAGAGGACGGGGATGGTGGGGACGATGAAAACCAGTCTGAGGCTGGCAGTATCGTGGAGTTTCTTTCCGATGATGCAGATGATGAAGATGATGAGGCTGAGTTCTCCTGGGCTGATGCGGAGGGAGACGACGACAGTGACGTGTAAATTGGGTGAAATTTTATCATGCTGCAACTTTGTTTTTTTTTTGTATAGATTCTTTTAGAATACAAAGAAATTATGGACTTAATAGATGAAGATCAGCCTCCTCAAAGCGCTGTGGCAAGGGACAGACAAGGGACCCGTGGCGACTTTGTGCCAAGGGACTTTGTTTTGTCCGCCGTGTAAAGAGGCGGAGAGAAAAGCTGCTGAGAAAGCAACTGCAACGGGAGCTATCCCCCGCCGACCAAACAACCAAGTGCTGCTGAAGTAAGCAAAGCACGTCGCAATCGACAACAACTGGTGTCCACTCTCCGTCCCAAACCTTCGTCGTCATCATATGGTGCCTATGTTCCTCCGGAACAGCATCATTATATCTCTGACTCGAAGAGATCATTTTGGCATCTTTCGGACATCAACATGGAGGATGAAGAGGAAGTTTTGGATACTGGTACTGACGGGCCTCCCATAGAACCCATGGTGTATAGACATTTCAGGTATATGGTTCGTCTTATCAATTGCCTGACAGGAGATTGATCAGTCGTACTCCGATCCTGCACTCAAGGTAGGCGTGCTATTGTCCACTCGTGCATAATTCACCATAACTGCAGGACTTTACTCCTAAACTCAAGGCTTACTTGCGACGTCAACTTCTCGCCCTTGACGATGATGTTCAGCTCACTAAGGAGGATTTGCTCAATGTGATTGTCGAGAAAGATTTGCTTTACACTCATGCAACCATGAAGGTCAACTACACAACGTACGATGTTCGTCGAGACCAGGACACATTGAATCCGCGAACCTGAAGATTCTTCATGGTTCATGCACAGGATTCAATCGATCCTCACTGTTACTGGTATGGCGAAATTTTGGGCATATTCCATGTCTATGCGTTACTGGCAGACCACCCTAGTAAAGCAAAGCGCATGGAATTCCTTTGGGTTCGATGGTTCCGACGCGATATGACCTACACCTGCGGACTCAAAGCAAAACGCTTCCCGCGCCTTGGCTACATGCCGCATGAGGATCCCGATGCTTTCGGTTTTCTCGATCCTCAAGATATTGTGCGGGGCAGTCATTTGATACCTGCTTTTCGCCACGGACGAACAACGGAGTATCTTCCCAAGTCTGTGGCTCGACCCGAATCTAGCAGAAACGAAGACTGGCGATTCTATTATGTCAATATGTAAGCCTCTTTCTCTACGCTACCTTATTTCACTCAGACTTGTTAGGGTGGTCGATCGCGACATGCTTATGCGGTACCATGACAATGTCATTGGCCATCACAAGATTACGCCTCTCCAACTGTCGGACGACAGTCTTTCCACAATCGACAACAACCTTGCGGTCTCATCTGATCAGACACTGTTGAGCGAAGCAGTGGATGACCCGTCCTCAATAGAGGATACTACTATGCCCTTGATGCAGGTTGACGGGGATAACAGCGATTCAGAGGAGGAGGATGCTGATTGGCGTGGAGACGCGATATTTGAACAGGACAACGAAGAGGCTGATCATGAAGATGAACCGTTGTATGGAGGTGATGCGGCAGTTATCAATCACCTTGGTCTAGCCGAATAGATCGCTCATAACTGCTCATTCGTGTAATATTCCAACGCTCATAACTGCTCATTCGTGTAATATTTCCAATTTGTTAACCCCACCAAATTTGGTGATGCCGCCGGACATAAGTCGGATCTCGGGTCAATGAGAGCCGATGCCCGCCACTCAACTTACTCTCAACCGCCATGCTCGTCGAGGTACTATCCATTAACGAGGCCCTCACGCGTTATATGGCCATGTCATCTACCACCCTACCACTTAGGCTGCTGTCGCTCAATGAACAGAGCCAGAAATCTCAAGAATTAAAAGAGACGAGTCGCTCGGGCCTCTGAGTTTGAATTCACAGTCATGCCGCAGTTGAGTATCCCTTCTCCGCGCACCACCGCATCAACATTGAAAGCAGGATTCTCCTTGTGAAATCTGGTACCGCGTGCTCGCTGAAGCGCAGCAAAGCATATTTCCTACCTACAATTCAACCACAGACGACTGCGGTTCTCTTTGGAACACCACAAAGCTTGAAAACACTGCCACCTTTGCAGCGCGTTTCAACTTATAAAGACGCCCGCAACTCTTGCGAACTCATCCCATTCTTTCAGCTGCTATGTTCCTCCAGTCGCGAAAAACAGCCAGTTCGCCAACAAAGCGCGGCCAGTCAGTCTTCGTTCTGGCCTCCATGCATGTTACTGACGTTTTCAGAACCCCGCGCCGCTCTGTGACCCATTGTGAACGAGCCGTTTGCCGTGCCCTCCAAGACGACTACAGCTACGAGCAACTTGCGGAAGCTCTTGGTCGTCATCCCTCTGCCGTTCGAAGAGCAATCGCCAACTGCAACAATCTGGGACGACGCGGTCCAAAGAGATGCATTGATAATGTTGCCCAGGACCCTATTGTTCTGTCCCAGAATTTGCAGTATTATCGAGGAATTGTCGTGCGTGGTGCCCCAACAGCTGATTCAGAAACTGACACGACTACTATCTAGCGAAAACTCGAACAGCAAGGAGACGTTACATCGGAAGCCCAGGAGGAATCCCAGGTGCTTACTGTGAACTTCCGACCTTATTCTCGGCTGACCAGCGCGTATTTAGCTTGAAGATACAAATAGTGACCAGATTCTTCGAGCCCCGACCGCGACAGTGGCAGCAGGACCATCTCGTATCAAGAAGGAGCGACTGGTCTGAACCACACACGTCAGGTCAGTGCTTCAGCTTCCGTTCGAAGATATGAATTGACACTCGCTGTCAGCCTAGAAACAAAAGCATCTCCGTACTCTCCATTGCTGACAGTTGTTACAATAACCAAGCACGCAAAGATATCTCATGTACTTAGACTTACTAGTATACTCAAACAAAGCTCTTGAACCAGAATAACTTGCAAAACAATTCCATATCGAAAGCGCTGAGTAATAAGGGTGTATTAACTGTATGACTACCCTTCCCGTTCACGGCAAGGCTTGTAGCAAGTCTTCCAAGCCTGTTGCTAGTATCATAAAAGTGTGGCTAAGGATTATGTCGGTTAACTAGCACCTTGTCGGGGTTTGTCGGGACGAAAAGTTGTTACAGCGTTGTGACCAATTTGGTGATGCGTATGTGCTGGGAACTCAGATGAGAGGGAGAACGATCGCAGCGCAGCGGACGCACGACATGGGAGGATACTCTTGGTGGTGGTCAAAGGCAGAAAAGAGCAGAAAGTGACTCAGGGAGTCTTCTGGCAGGGTCACAGGTATTTATCCGATTTGCAGAATGATGATGGAGTTGATGTGATTAGTGTTGTCTAGGGCCGGGCTGCCCTGCCAAGCCCCACTTAGGGCTGGGCTTTCCAGGGCTGGGGCTTGACTGTAAGTCAAGCCCTGGCCCCAGGCCCTGCCCTGCCCTGCCCTGCCTAGGGCTTGAGGCTTGGGCCCTGTCCTGGTCAGTGGCTGGTTTGAGTGGTACTTATCACCAAAACAGGACATGTGACTGATCCTAACTCACTAAATCAGTCACATCAACTTATGTGATGGACTCACAATATCTTGGCATCGAATAAATACATTCTGTATTCGCAGCACTCGCGAGCCAGTAGCACGACATCGCGTCCTCCTCTTCCAGTTGCGTTATACACCCCTGTTGGGCTCGTGTCGTCCAGCCATATAATATATTCGAGTGACGATGATCAAGTTGTTATAGCTACCGCTCGGCTTGCATGCGAACCCACCGGCGAGGCCACGACTGTGACCTCCATATTAGCGTGAAGAGTGTGCTTCAGGAAAAGGAACAGGCGAGCGAACCACAGCATTTGAGACTCGAACACGGCCACAGAAAATTATGATAGATTTTGGGTTACAGGTCCATGTTCGGCTCGTCTGGGTCCTCATCCTCAATTTCCACAGTATCATCTTTGTACTCGCTTCCCGGCGTCACCTCAAAGTTCATATCCACCGTCATCCCACCCGCCCTTAACCCGTCCAGCGACCGGTCGAAAAAGAAGGTTCTTCCCGCGTAAAATAACCCCACCCTTTTCAACGTCTTCCGGCGGCTGTGGAGCATTGCGAACAGGAGTGTGTCGGGGACCGACAGCCCGCCAACGAGCGTTAGGTCGGTCAGATGTGGCAGCCAACTTGTGCGCGCAAGGCCGGTGAGTGTCAGCGCCCCAATGAGAGAGCGGGTATGGACATCGGCTGGCCAGACGACGGCGAGGCGGGTCAACGCGGGGAGCAGAGGCAGGAGGGCGATAAGGTCGGGCTCAGAGAGCGAAACACGGGTGAGGGAGAGGGATGTAAGTCCAGGTGAAGCGGAGATGAAGGTGCGGAGGAGCGGCGAGAGCACGTGTGCCGGGACGTCAAGTGTGTCGAGCATGAGCGATTGCAGATCGGGAGCGGCCAGCTTGCCGAGCAGGCTAGACACGAACTCCTCCAAGGAGCGGGTGATCCGCAGGCTGCGCAGAGCCGGTGCAGTGCACAGTGGCGGTAGCGGGCCCAGCCCCGGCGGGACACCCGAGCCGGCACTCACGCAGAAGGCCTGGAGGGCTGCCGCTGTGTTCAGGACTGCAAGTGCTTCTTCGGTGTTGATGTACAGGAGGATGCAGCGCGTCACGCTGTCCCACGGGAGTGCCGCCGGGAGCGGCGTGATCGGCCCCAGAATGCGGACGTCGGTGACGTGTGGCGCGAAGGACAGCCCACCTAGGTTGAGAGTGGAAACGTGACGCAGTGTGAGCGTCACGAGGCTTGGAAACACCGCGGGGTATGCCATGAGGAGAGACCGCTGGGCCCCGGTGAGCTCGATGTCAAGTACCGCCCACCGGTCCGTCGTCGTCAGAAGTAGTTTGAAGACCGCTATATCCGAGTCTGGATAAGCAAAGCGAACTCTGAGCGTGATCTGGCCAGAGCGTTGAAGTTGAAGACCGAGCAGGTCGCGTAAACCTTGCGGCCTGCGCTTGTGCCCGTCGACAGTCCGCTGGATATGGATGTCCCGCCATAGCAACGGGTTGCCCAACGCGACTGCCCGCCAGCGGTGGCAGACTGCCGCTGCCACGTGTGTGCGGCAGTTCACCGTGGCCAGGGGAGAGATTTCATGCGCATGTTGGAAAATGAGAGAAAGAAGCTCAGCGGGGAGTGTTGTCGCCATCGGTGGTGGTTGAGGGAAAGTTGTTGATGGTGACGTGACGAACATGTGATCGCGGGAATCGCGCCGGGCTCTCATCTTCAACCAGCCAGTGACTTAATACTAGTAGCTCCCGGAGCTCTAACACAGTAACAGTGCATCTGTCCATGGAACACCTCCAACTTGAACGCCTTTGTGTCAGTCATCGCTCAGACATTAGGGAAGATTCAAAACCCGCGCGCATATGTACTCAGTTACTGGCGGGCTCTCGGACGTCTGATTAAGGCTCCAACCAAATACAATACAATACTCAATATATTGAGTTATAACCCAATACAATCCATATATATATACAGGGTGGCAAAATTTTTGTAGTATAGAATATATACTGTATAGATACTCTATACTATTGAGTTTTCTCAGAGGCCTATATAGGCAGTATCTGTAGGTTATACAAGGTGTTATCAAGTCAACTTCTTTCAGATAAGGTATTTTCTGAGTCTTTGTTACTATACTTTTTGGGACTATATCTGATATCTGACTAAAAGTTCAGATGCTACTTTAACCACAGCTTCCAACTGACCCACAAACTGACCCATCTAAACAACCTTATTATTATAATAAATTTTCTCATATATCAATCATAAGTCTAGGTTAAACTTCAAAATTTCCATATAAGGAAATTTTATCACAATCAAAAGACTGTAAGTATCATGATAAGAAGAGAGCTTTATAGTTAACTATCAACACAACATTTATCTGATTACCCAGTTTCCTCTTGATCTGACATCTGTGCTGTTTTACTATTATATTTGACTATTAAAAGCCTTGGTTAACCTCAATGTCGTCTTTTTTGCAGCTCTAAGACTTTCAGGACCTGTAACTAAGATGTTATTATGGTCCCTAGCATATGGCAGAACTATACTTGATAGTGTCAGGGGATGAGGGTCCAGGTGCCTAGTTGATACCAAAGCCGGGGGAACAGCCCCACGGCCAACTACTTAAGTACAGGGCTATCTGCGCACGGACCAGTCACGTGATCAGTCACAGCTGTCACATCACATGCTCCCCTTACACCAACCCCTCCTCAAGATCCGTCGCCTCGACGGATAGGCGGAGTGTAGGGTTCTGCGAACTCATATTCGGGATCGCCAGGGAAATAGAGGTTGTCGCCTATGACGCGCTGATGACTGCGCAGGTACGCCCCTCGTCGGGCAGTCTGCCGGTTACGCGGCCGGGCGTGAGCTACGTCGATCTGCATAGGAGAGCCGATCGGGGTAGGTGACGCGCTGGTCAGCGCCGACGGAGTGGCCATAACCACCAAGGGTGCGAAGGGAGTAGGGTAAGGCTGGGGGGTAGGAAGAGATGGTGCCGCGGCCTGCATAGGTGGGGTAGTGGCGGCGGCAGGTTGGCGGGGTAGAGAAGACGGGAAGAGGGGGGAAGACAGTCGCGAATGCCCAGCTGGCCCACCAGCGGCCGAGGCCCTCGGATGAGTGGCAGGTCGAACCGCAGTAGTGGCGCGGGGCACCTGAGACTGGGCGTGGATCACGGTGGACGAGCGGTGCAGAGGGGCACGGTCGACATCCATCTTTGTGGCACATGGTACAGGCACAGGCGCGGCAGGAGGAGGGGGGGGGCAGGTCCCTCAGCAGACGGACACGCTTGCGCATGAACCGTTTCCCAAGCGCGATAAGCGCTTCACCAATTTGCTGGTCGGTTCCCCGGATAGAGACCCGGCGCTCGCCAGGCGCAGCGCGATCAGAGTACGCGCGCAACTGAGCACCGGAAGTGTCGTGAGCTTGGTGGAGACCCTTGCCGCCGCGACCCACGATATGCCCGACAGCCGAGTCAGGCACCACAAGCGTACAAGAGAAGCACGTGACAGTGTCGGGCGCAGTAGGGGGGAAGGTTTCGGCAAGTGGTATGGAAGTGTGGGCCGCAGCAATGACGGCAGGGGTAGGGGCCGGGATCGTTGGAAGAACCCAGCAACTGCCGTCCCAGACACCATGGAATGTAGGACCAGGGGAAGGGGGAGCAGGGGGTGGAGCAGGCGTACCATACTCAAGACGGTTGAGACGGTCGGTGAGGCGAGTAATTTCGCTCTGCAGAAGCAGGCAGTACGAATATAGGTCAACAGGGACGCCGGGAGTCGTCATTGGAGGAGAGAAGGCAAGCACAGTAGGGTGAGGACGAATATAGGAGATAGAGAGGATCAACTGGGGCTAGAAGAGTGCCAGAGTCGATATAGAGGCTTTGGTATGCTGTCAGGGGATGAGGGTCCAGGTGCCTAGTTGATACCAAAGCCGGGGGAACAGCCCCACGGCCAACTACTTAAGTACAGGGCTATCTGCGCACGGACCAGTCACGTGATCAGTCACAGCTGTCACATCACATGCTCCCCTTACAGATAGTTCATAACTATCATGATTGTGATATATAAAATAATATTTTAAAACAATACATTATCTACTATATACTCAATATATTGGGTTATAACTCAATACTATCCATATCCCAATACAATACAGCATTGGAGTGTATATGGATAGTAATTAGTTGAAGCCTTACGTCTGATGAACAAGGCAGCGCTCAAGCATAGACACGGCCCTGGCTGCAAATCTTATATTTGTCACATGACCATTTAAAATTTGGGTACCCAAATTCAAGACGTGACTAATGATGTGACATAATGTGACAATCCACATAACATAATGTGACAATCCAAAATTTGGGTAGCCAAATTTCGGACGTGACAGCAGTATGACAATATGAAATTTGGCTACCTAAGTTTATATCAGATATTGAAATTTACTTAGAGCAATGATTATCCTTGGTGCAGTAGGAGTATATGGTTAGCCATCTAGTAAGCAGACCTGTAGGGTATCTTGGCCTTGCATCCTCTGTTGCCAAATGAACTGTAGTTGTATCTGCATTCACTCTTTGGATATTAGCCCCTTAAGGCCTGCAACACCAAGAAGCACCATGAAAAGATATCGTAAAGATGATGCAATTCGAAGACTGGGGTACAAGACAAAATCTACTCTACTTATATACACTACTACTATGTGTTTATCATGCCTAATACGAGAGGCAATGACGTCATACTTTAGCCATGCCTTTACGTGCTGTTTGCCTCATGTCCAACTCCACGCTGTCAATCAACATCAGCATCGACATCTGATGATCCAATCACCATCTTATCGTCCATCTTATCTCCTCCTTGTCTTATCTTATCAACCAGGGCCAAAATAAAAGGTTTAAAGGGTGAAGAAAAAGGGTTTTTGAACCCAGGGTTTGACAGATAGCCTTTTCTTTGCTTTTGGATTTGGCAACAAATGAAGAGCATAATGTATAATGATCCCACTGCCTAAGAGAAGTATTTCCAATTTATCAAAAAATCAGTAGTATAAAATTTAAGTATCTCTCTCTGGATAGATTGATATTTATATTGTATTTATCAATAGATTTGGCTGAAACTGACCAGAACAATACTGTAAGGGCAACCCTGGAGACTCCGACGAAAGCCTAGCAGGGGAGGATCCAAAGCGTGAATAGAAGCTACGGAAATACATGGAGGGACCGACCTAGCAGGGGAGGATCCAAAGAGAAGAAACTCTAAGGGTCCGCCTGCTAGGGCGCCAACTATATACTGGTCGTCCGTAACTGCCGACGTAGAGCGCAGAAGGCCTGAGCGGCGTCGCAGGCTCTGTCCCAAGGTGATCGTTGGGAGGGTCTTGACGGATCGGTGATTGTGCGGGCGAAGGAGGCCGTGGACGATGGTCGGGGTGGGTCGGAGCGTCCGAGGGGGCGCCGGTCAGATGCACCTCGGATGCGTTCGGAGGGTCCGAAGGAGGCCGAAGTGGGGGTTCCCCTGACAATTTGGTTCAATGAGTCCAAGTCAAGTGAGCAAAAGAGGATGACTTTTTTTACTACAGCAGTAAATGAGTAGTTATCAGTTGTAGCAAGTATCATAACCAAGGGGTAAGATAGCAAAGTGCTTGCTAATTAGTTTTATTGATGGTTACACAATCAGCTGATGGGTTGTGCACATTGGTCTAAGTATATCTTCTTGGCCTTGTGGTTCATGGCATGTCTTTTGTTGGCGGTCATAGGTTCAATCCCGGGTGGTGCCATTTTTGGGACAGTTTATCACTGTGTTTAACGCAGTTTAACTTGAACAAGTTAAACCTGATTTACCATCATCATGCCTGTTGGCTTAACAATCCTTGTAGGATTTATCAGATCTTGGCCCCGGGGCGAAACTCAGGGGAGAGTGGGCAACTCGGCTTCGGCCTGCCAGAAGTTAGAACGTGACACTTCTGGGCTGCGCGGTGCAGGTGGCAAGGTCGATGGTGGGGACGACAACAGTGACGGTCAGCGCAGTCAGAGGTGAGGATGGGTGAGGGTGCTGGTGGCAAGACGCCAAGACCAGACTTGGGGTTTCCAGATCATGAGTCATGCAGCATGCTTCTCAGCATCGATGGCCTTGTTCCTGCCCGCCAGAGGGTCTGGATCTCACCGAAGAGGCCCCTTGAGGAGCCACAGGCCCACAGCAGTGACGTGGAGCACGTGCCTAGAGTAGCGCACACCAATCACCGGCTGGCGCTCACGCGCTTACTGGCGGACACGATCCTGCGTCCTTGGCTTGTCGTATGTGTGGCGAGGATGAGGAGACACCCGGGCATGTGTTCCTCCAGTGCAGGGCCCGTGAGATAGTGGAGTTGCGCCATGAGCTCGGGCATGAATTCGGACTGAGACTTGTCACAAACCCGGCTTCTCGAGCGGATGCGGAGATCGAGCTGCGCAGGCTCATCTTTGGTTGGGACACAGTGGTGCCGATGGCGCGTTTTGTCTACCGGGTCTGCAAGGCGTGGAGATGGTTTGGGCGCAGGCTGCCGTCAATGGTTAGCGAGTTGGCACCGTTGTCAGAGGACGAATGGAGCGAGGAGGATGGGGATGGCGCGAATTCAGTTGGCGAGTGTGGAGATTGAGGCAGCGGGTTTGAGTGTTGGTTTCTGTTTTGT